CGAGCCGCTCTCCGCTCCGGGGAACGCTGCGGGTTACTTGGAGTAGTTTCTCTTGTTTCCAGAGTGCTTGGGTGCTCCTGGATTATCATTCTGATAGGAAAATACATTTATCCTTCGCAGTGCGGCACTGGATACTGGAAAGACTGAAAGGAGAACTTGGCGCAGGGGTGGGGAGCGCTTGTTTCACAAGCGGTTTCTGAACTGGGGAGGGAAACATGGCTGGGAAACACTTGAAGCTGTTTCTGTTCTTGCAAGGTGACTTGACTTCCCCCTGAAGCAGCTTCTCTTGCTTGTTACAGAATCATAGAATCATAGGATGGTTTGGGTTGGAAGGGACTTTAAAGATCATCTGGTTCCAGCCCCGCTTCTATGAGCAGGGACCCATTCCACCAGCCCAGGGTGCTCAGAGCTCCATCCAACCTGGCCTTGGGCACTGCCAGGGAGGGGGCAGCCACAGCTTCTCTGGGCAACCTAGGCCAGGGCCTCACCACCCTCATGGTGAAGAATTTCTTCCTAATATCTGATGTAAATTTGCCCTCTTTTAGTTTAGAGCCGTTCCCCCTTCTCCTATCACTACACAGCCATGTGAACAGCCCCTCTCCAGCTCTCTTCTGGTTGAAGCAATGGAGTTATTTACTGAGTATGGCTTATTTATTTCCATTTTTATTCTTTCCTAATCATTTTCTTGCAACCTTCTCTGTCAACTCTAGTGCATGAGAAGGCAGTTGAGATGAAAAGGAGCAAATGGACAGTAAGTCAAGCAGTAAGGAACCCATGGTTGTTCTCAGCGGATATCGCTGCCCTGGGCAGTAGTAAATAGACTTGAAAGAACTGGACATCAGAAAGCAAAGAACAAGAGTATTTGTTTGTTAACTGAAAGTCTCTGGAGATCCTGTGAGGATGTCAGGGGAAAGGGAAACTGAGGAATCCTTCAAGGCTTTTGAAAGAGAGCAGAAGCAGCCTGTGACTTGGGTGCCTGGGGCTAGCCTTGCCTGGGGTAAAGTCGCTGTGGTCAAGGCCCTCTCTAGTGCTGTTTTCTGTTATGCCCTGGGTTTCCCTGACAGGTTGCGGTACCCAGCAGAGACTGGTGTAGCTGCTTTCCGAGGTTCCTGCCATGAAGGCCGTTTTGCGGTACTAGGTGCACGCAGCTGTGAGCAGCGTTATGTTACTGTGGGTGCTGTCCGGGCGGGTGCCAAGGAGCGCTCCCCGCTCTCGTGAGTGTACAGCTGTCGCGGCACTTTCGTTGTTCTGCTGGGTTTGGTGGCCGTGAAGACGCGCTCTGCCACCAAAGTCTCTCTTGATGCTTTTCTCCCGGTTGCGGCAAACATCATCCGTGGCTTTGGTAGCCCTCGTCCTTTGTCGATGCCGTGACTGCAGCAGATGCCCAAAGCATCGTCCCGTGCTGCAGGTGATGGTGGGAGCAGGAAGAGTTCAGCATCTCGGCTCTGGTTGCTCCTGCTTTCCTGCCCTGTGAAAAGGCACCACATGCAGCCGCACTTCTTGCCATTTGAAGGGCTAGATCTACTAGTCTGGGTTAACGTTTTGGTTTTGGTCACGTACCTACTAAACACTGAGCCCCTTCCCATCCTTTATGTCTTCAGGACTGTGCTTGCCTGGCTCCCACTGAAACAGTGAAGGGCTAAGCCCATTCCTGAACTGTAGCGTGCTGTTGCTATGCCTGTCTGCCTCTGGGGAGCGTTTCCTCTGTCCCTTCCCCATGGAGCAAACGTCACTGTCCTGCTGCCCGTAAGAGAACAGGGATACTTACACGAGCTGTTCCTGTTGCTGCAAGTAGAGTGAAGACTGTATCATCTTTCTCCGGCATCCTGCTTGCTTTTTCTGTAATGAATATTTTCCTGCTTTCGATTGCAAAGGGTAAATTGCAGTCAAAGGAAGTTGCTGCAGCTGGGCAAGTGTCCACTCTATGCTGTCGTAATAATAAGGGACGCATCTTAACCTTGCAACAGCAAGCACAGCGCAAATGTGCCAGCTGGTTACAGGATCCCATTCCCTGGCCTGAGGTTTCCCTGTGCTGTGTGGGAGCCGCTGCTGCTTGCTTCAAGCAATGCCGGTAAACTGAGGCGAGCGCCCAAACAGTCTCTGCATCGGGATACCCTGTTGCCACAGGCTTCTGGTGTCCATCGCACAGTTGCTGATTTAATGCCACTGTTCCTAAACAGGCAAGTTTTAAATATTCTTCTGGCGAATGAAGAATAGTTGCAGTTATTTCTGTAGGCAGCAGCACTCATCCGGAGCTCTTAAAGCCTCCTTGGTAACTGAAAGCCTGCCTTACTTTCAAAGGACATGCCTCTTGCCCACAGCTATGTTTAGGTTTGTTACGTGTGCCAGCAGCGGGAGCTTCTGGTCCCGGGAGCAGCCATTTTGCACAAGCTCGGCAGCAGTTGTTACCTGGCAACAGGATACGAAATTTCAGTTTTCAAAACCAGTGAAAATTTCAGGTGAGGGTTTTGCTGAGACAGGAGGCTTTGGCTTCGGTGCACTGGTGTGCCAGTGCAAATGGAGCGGGCTTGCTCACCAGTGGGGATCGTCCACTATTCACCTCGCTAGTGAAATGAGAGAAGAGTCTCCTTCAGCCCGTTACACCTGCCCCCTTCCAAAAGCCTGCAGAAGGTGTGGAGGCCACCAGGCAACTTGTGCTAGGTCAGATATATGAAGTCAGGGCACACACACGCTGCAAAGCACAGCTGAAACTTGGGACAAATGGTTGCTTTACGCGGAGTGCTGTAGACTTCTGTGTGACTTGTCCACCAAGGGAAAAATACGGGAAACCCGTAGGCACCGCTGCACTGTTTCATAGCTCAGTTACTCAACATCTGGACCACGAGGTCAGGTCTCACAGACAGAACCCAGTTCTGGAAAGTAGCAAATGTATGACTTCCAGCCAACCCCAAATGCTGGAGGTAACCGCTGTATTGCTGGACTTCAGAGATCTCTGCAGGCGTGAGGGTCAGAAATGACCTTTTGGGAACCCTTTCCTGTGGCACTTGATTCAGTAAATCTGAATTACCAGCTTAGTCTTTCTGATCCAAGACTATTTGCTCCTTGAACCCGGTAAGTTCCCTGTGCCTGTTCTTTGGTGCTTTTCTGGTCTGCTGGGATTGCTTGTGTAAGAAAAGAGCTACGAGTTCACTCGGTTGTGTGGCGATCAGTTTCTTTTATGGAAGGTCTCTTACACATCCTTTTTGGAGAAGAATACTTTTCCCAACCAATTCAGCATATTCTACCTGATAGATCAGAAGAACCTGACAAAAAACGTCCGAGGTAGCATATTTCACACAGTGCTGTTTCTTTTAAATGGACATTGTGCACAGCTGGTCATGCTTTCCCCTAGGTTCAGTGAATGAGAACCAGAGACCGTCAAATTCGTATAACGGAGACCTGAATGGACTGCTGGTGCCTGACCCCATCGTGGCTGGAGATGGACCGTCTCTGTCAAAGCCGGTGCATCGCAGCGTTTCTCTGGGGGCCCTGCAGGAGAAGCAAGTCATGTAAGTTTTGTTGAAGAAAGACTGAGAGCGAGTAGGAAATGGTTAAAAATTAGTTCTGGTGAGCCTGGGCAAGCACGCTGGGAATCTGATGGCGAGTTTTGTGCTGAGTTCAGGTGGAAGTTGTGAGTCCATGCTGTGGGTCAGAGTTTTTGCAGCTTTTGTGAGGCTCATGCGTGTAGCCTGCCATCCTTGCTGCTCAAGAACCGAAGAAAGCCGGCAGAGCTCTTTAGAGAGAAGCGGGCAGCAGGGCTGGTTGCATGGTGGATGTTGCAAGTTAGGGTGGAGGTGAATTAGCAGGGACCTAGGTGAAACTTTGTGTTCTCGTGTAGACCTCCAGCTGGACTCTTTCAGGGACCCAAGCTACCCGAGAGGTAACTTACACCAGGTTGCAGTGAGATAGACCTTGCACTTGCTGAAGTATTTCTCTCCACATAAATTAAAACGGTATAAATGATCCTGAGTTAGATTTCTACCTAACTCTTAGCAGAGTTGTGCGTATACACCGTTGTGTTTTGGACAGTACGTGTGCTTTGACTGCTTATATGCAAGAGAACTTATGCATATAGAATGCTTTGGATTCATCATGGGAGTAATAGGACAAATCCACACCAGTCTAATTAGTGGAATGCTTGGCTTCATGCACTGACTCTTGACATCAGAGCTCGTGTAAATAGCTTTTGGTTGGGTTCTCTAGTCACGATTTTGAGAGAGGATGCCATGAGAACCATGACCAGTGTGCACTGTTGTTGGTGAGGTTCAGCTGGTTGCCTTTGGTCTCTTGTACAGCATTGGGCAGTAGTCAAGGCTACTTTAACCAAATGTAGGTATGTGCCCAGGTCAAGCAGACTGGAGGTTTTTAAGCTGAACGCACCAGGTGTTTGGTGCTCTCAAACCTGTGGCACGTGGGGAAGGGAGGCTCTTAACTGAAAGTACTTTCTGTTTTCAGTTGTTCAGTTCAGACCTCCTAGATGCACAGATACTCCGTCTGCATTGCTGTTAAAGTTATGAATAGCAGATACCTGACCTCTGTTCTCTTCCTGTGAGTTCTGTCTGATTTTTTTTTTCCCTTTGTTTTTCTTAAAAGCTGCCTTTCTGGTGATGACAGCTCTACCTGCGTAGTGATATTAGCAAAAGATGTGGAGATAGTGGCCAGCAGCGATTCCAGCATCACCAGTAAGGCCAGAGGGAGTAACAAGGTAAGGAGCAAGAGAAGGCGTAGTTTTGTCTCTTCTTTTTAGTCACATCAGCTCATGCTTGAACATTTTAAACAGAAATGGCTCTCTCTTATTCTGTGTTGTAGGAGCTTGTGATTAGGTAGAAGTTTGTCAAAAAGCTTAACAAATTGGAGCAGTGTCTTGTAACTGATTGTTACTGTTGTTCTGGAGGGTGGCCAGGTTATCTTCTAATTCTCAGGAAAAAGTCCATGATCTGAGCTGTAGGTTCTAGGGAAAGCGGCCTTCCTCCACAGGCAGGGCTTTCCTGCTGATTGTTCCTTCGCTGGAAGGTCTGCGCTGTGGAGGGACGGTTGTTCTTGATAGCTTGCCAGCCTTGGTCCTGCCGAGGGCTTCGCCCAGCTGAGCAGAGCTGCGGAAGAACCAGTGCGCTGAGATTAGAGCTAGTGCTGTAGCAGAGTGCTGAGACACATGCTCAGAACAAATGCTACGAGTCGGGAGAGAGAGCTCTGGCCTTGATCCTCTCGCCACTTTTCCACGTGATATCCTTTTGTTCCTTGATGTGCAGTGAATTAAGGGACCTCAGAGATTGTAAATAAATACAGTACCATGTTATCATTGTTTGTCATAGATGATACTGAAGGTAAAAATGAAAGGGAGGGTCACTGCCATAACTTCCACAGTATTTCTAAATTCTTTGCTTGCGGAGACGATGCTTATCAAATAAGACCAGGACTCTCCGTTTCTTGGAAAACAGTGCTGAAACTAATAATCGAGTGCCCATGCAGCGAATGTTTCTGTATTTCAAAAAAGTTTCCAAGAACTGGGAATCCAGACAGTGCAAACACAGAGGTGAAGGCTGCTGTGCTGTACTTGCAGGCTCGAGTGTTGTCCTGCAGCGTGACGCGTTCAGTGAGTTGAATTCCTTCTTGCAATGGAAGGAAATACTCAGCAGCCTCTGGAACTTTGAGTGTTCAGGGCTCTGCTGTCTGGTGTTCAGTATGCAGTTCTTCCTACCAACTGCTGCTTCTAACAGTTTCCTATTAAGCATTACAGATCTTCCCTGGAGGAAATCATGTATTTGGCAAGTTTATTCCAGGAAAAAGTGAATTCCAGACACTTCTCATACTTTGTTTTCTTTCTCTTGAGCAGGTGAAAATACAGCCTGTTGCTAGATATGACTGGGAGCAGAAATACTATTATGGCAATCTGATAGCCGTTTCAAACTCTTACCTGGCTTATGCCATTAGAGGTGAGATACCTTTTTGTCTTGGATGTAATTTGTATTCCTTTGTTCTGTGTATCTCTGAAAGAGGCAGAGTTTGCATCAGCGAAGGTAACTAACAATAATTGAAACACTGCGTGGAATACCAAGATCAGGGTGCTGTTCTAGTGGGAATGTAAGTGAAGCTGGAGCTACAGGGAAGGGAAGCGTTGGTGGTGTAGGAGAGTTTCCACTGAGAAGCAAAGCTTTTCTGAAGTTAGAAATAAAAGAAAGAGGACTCTGGGGATGGAGGAGAAGTCAAAGGATTACGTTGGTTTCACTGGACAGTAAGCTGATGTTCAGATTACTCCACTAATTAAATATTTCTGCAGTAAACAGGCTTCTCTGTGGCGAAGCACAGAAACAGCACCATGGTAATTTGAGCAGATAAATGTTTGCGATGGATTTGCTTGCATGAATTTGGAGTTGAGTTTAAGGCTAAATTTAGAGGAGCCAAAGAGCAATGCAGATGCAGTGTATTTTGCAGTAGGAAGGCAGAGAAAAGCAGAGCAATGCAGGGAAAGATTGTTTCACAACATACATGAAACAGATGAACACCTGGTCATCTGCAATGTCTCTGCTCTCGTATAACCACACAGCGTTTGGGGTTTCATCAGCTCTTCCCTTTCTCCTTAGTTCTAGCACCCATCGGTTTGTCTGGCCTTTTAGGAAATGTACTACTCTGCTTCTGTGTTTCTACACAGCTGAGGTTAGAGCAGCCTTAGGGTGTCGCACCCTTTTTAAAGTATTAAAACTTGGGTGCAGTAACACTATGGAAAGCTGAGTGGTCTGCTAGGGCTGACTTGGGCATCAAGAAGTGGGAACAATGTGGTCTCCATAAGACTGCCTGCATTTTAGTGACATTTGTCTAAAATGGGGAAGTTGGAAACTTTGCTTGGTATGCGCATGCTCTAAAGCAAGTTCGTTTCAGTTACACAAGCCAAAAAGCAGTGCTCTGTGCTGGATGACTGTTTATGCTTTTTAAATTTCCCTTACAGAAGATATATTTGAGCTACCTGCCTCTTGGTGACTCCTTTGCTCCAATTACTGAAAATGAAATTGCAATTAAAATTAATTCACTGTCACTGCAGATCAGTCTTGGAGGTGTGGTAGCTTTGTCATGAGCTGGGGATAAAGATTTAGGCCTGACATTTAATGAAGGCATCTTTCATGGGAATAATCCCAGCAATCAAGAGAATTCAACCTCTGTTGACTTTTTAAGTAGAGCAACTTGGATTTTGAGGTGCTCAAGAAATTGTAGAAGATACGAGAAATTAAGCTGCCCCTTACAAGGCAGGCAAGCTCCTTCTTGGTGCTGCTGTTCCAATCCTCTGCACCAAAGATGAAAAGTGCAGTGAATATTTGTGCACATACCCTGGGCCTTGAAAGGTACCTGCTACCAGGGGGTTTCGGTGTGCTGCCAGTGAAAGCCGATGGCAGGATGGGTGCTGGAAACAAAGGCAGTCCCATGGGAAAACTGCACGGATAAACAGTGACTTCTCCCTCTGTCTTCTCTGCAGCTGCCAGTAACGGCTCCGCTATGGTGCGGGTGTTGAGCGTCAGCACTGCAGAGCGGACCTTGCTGAAAGGATTCACGGGCGGTGTGGCAGACCTGGCTTTTGCTCATCTCAACTCCAACCAGCTGGCGTGCCTGGATGAGGCCGGCAACCTTTTTGTCTGGCGCCTGGCCATGGATAAAGAGAAAATCCAGTATCTTGTCAAAATACTCCTCGTACCAGTCTTTGTGTAATGGTTAGACATGAATGCAACCTCAGTTACAACTTGTTTTATAGCCTTTCCAGAATAGCAGCTTGCAGGGGGAAGGTAGATAGTTCTGCCCCTTGCAGAGCATCAGATCTGTCAGCCTGTGCCTGTGTTCAGCACAATCATGACTTGAAATCACACATGACTTGAAATTCAAGGAGTGACACCTCAGTGGCTCCTTCTGTTCCAGGCAGAAGTAGTCAGTGAGAAGTGTCAGGCTGTACTAGCCGGCCTTACACGTGGACAGTATCACCTTGACCGCGTGACAGATCTTTTCACTCACATTTGGTTCTAGCTTTTCTCCTCGATTACTTTTCTAGGGAAGATGATGTAATACTTCCCTCCCACTCGCTATCCTCCCTCCAAACCTATCATCCCTCTTCTTTTGGAGGTCCTGGAATTTATTTTCAGTGTTTGATTCATTGCCCTAAATCTTTTAATTCCTAAGAGTGACTGCTCAGTGCTTTTGGGAAGCACATCAGTCTGTGGGATCTGTTGTCTTAGGTTGTGACTTCTTAATTTTAATGGTATACTGTCATTTAGAGAGCAGCTGGAGCAAAGGTTGTTGTGGTTGTTTGAGATCTGATTTGTAGGTTTGGACCAGAGCACTCAGCTTGGGGAAATGCAGTAGCTTTTCCGTCTTTCTGTGGTAGTGTTGCAGTGCTAGCTGAAATTATTTAATCTATCCATCAGCAGTTGCATGGATTGCACATTCAGCTGTGGCTGTGTGCTTCTGGTGTGCTCATGCTGTCCCTGTCTGTAGCCTGCAAGAGAAAATCAGGAGACTTGATTAACTTCTGTAAGGTAAATGTCTTCTGGCAGTGAAGAAATGCTAGCTTGCCACCTCTTTAAGCAGAATACTTTTGATTTCTTTTTGAATCTCGGTGATCAAAAAAATCTGGAGGTTTAGTAGTGTTTACTGGAAGACCAAGCCTGGATAGGTTATTCCTGCATGTGAGTAGCGCTACCAGAATGTTATGTTTCTTAACCATGGTGATCAGAGAGGAGATCCTGGTTAACATCAAGCGACCTGACAGTACCCCGTTGAACACCTCTCGAAGAATCATCTGGTGTCCTTTCATCCCCGATGATAATGAGGAGAGCGGTGAAGAGGGAAGTCAGACGTTGGCGTTGTTGCACGAGGACAGGGTAAGGAAATGTTGCTTGTTCAAAAGCATGTTCAACGTTGTCTCTCATTTAGGGGCAAAGAATCTAAGGAAGGAAGGAGCTGATACGGTTAGAGATGTAAAGGCTCCTGTCTAGTCCATGCTGGGAATCCTCCTGTAATATGAGGTGTGGGATTCCTCTCATGGAGAGGTCGTGCTGATCTTTCTCCAGGGCTCAGGAGGAAGGAAGGTGATAACTTCTGCTCACCATCAAAAAGTAGAGACCACTAGGAACAGTGTGGAGGTCCGAGGTGTTGCTCATCTGCGCAGGCTGAGCCCATTCCCAGGGGAAGGGCCTTGGTGAGCAGCAACTGCCAAGAGCAGTTCCCCGTGCTTACGTACAGCTGGGTGCCAGGAAAGCATCTAATGGCCAAATCGGGTGGAAGCGGGAAGATTTATGTCACGTACTTGCCATTGGGCTGCTATGTCAGGGTGTGAGATAAGGATGTAAGAAATCATCTGCTGGATCAAAACTAGTAGTAGTTTGTGTGCCTACATGATTGTTTTCCAGGCAGAGGTGTGGGATTTGGACATTATCCGAACAAACAACAGCTCCTGGCTGGTGGAAGTGCCTAACATCAAAGAGGGCTTCATCGTAGTGAAAGGCCACAGCACGGTACAAACCGGTTTTGTTTTCTTTACTGCCGTCGCGTAGGTGATCGCTACAGATCGTGTAGGTTCGCTTTGGGTTATAGTGTCTCGGGAGCTGCAGTTCTTAGGACAGTTTGCTTTAAAAAAGAGTTTCTTACCCTTCCACGCTATCCTCCACAGTGTACTGGCTATGTACACACAGTATTGGTGAGTAACCATTGTTGCAAGAGCCGAGGTGAATTTGTAGTAATTTGCTTTGAAAATGGCTCTTGAAAAAACCTGTATTGCCAAGGGCCTGTTTGACAACCTGGGCTGTATTTCGGCTCTTTTGTTATATCTCCTGGTAAGTGGAACGCTTAACACTGCAGTGGGTTACTGCTGCATGAGAAGGGGAAAATTAAGCCCACCGTCATCTTAATTCTTTTATGATTTCCATAATGAGTATGGTTACGTCTGTGAAGTGCAGTGGACCAGGACTGCAGCTGAGTATCCAGTAGGTGATATTTTGAATATAAAAGAAACAACCAGAAAGTGTCCGATTTCGCTTCTTGAACAGGATGACAAAGTAATTGTATTGCTTAGGTGAAACAATAATGGTTGAAAAGTCAGAAGGTTCCAAACCAAAATGAGCTCCGTTCATAACATGGGTAACAGTGGGAACATTAGCAGCACAATCCATTATACTTAAATTTGCCATCTGGAGAAGATGATTCTTGAGCGAAGGATTAAGCTGCCTAGTGACATGTCTGTTAGAAATCACTCTGACCTGTGCTATCAGACTGTTAGTCAGATTCCTGTCTGAAGAGAGTACGTACTCTTTCTTCCTATGAAATAAAAAAAAGCTATAAAATTACTTTTCTGTATATGTTTCCCCCCTCTCTTTAGTGCCTGAGTGAGGGAGCACTTTCCCCAGATGGAACTGTGTTGGCCACAGCAAGCCACGATGGTTTTGTCAAGTTCTGGCAGATCTATATTGAGGGGCAAGATGAACCAAGGTAACTAGAGAATTAGAAAATGAAGGATCTTGGAACAGAGAGCACCATTTTCTCTGTGAGAGTTTTCTCGTCACAGAATCACCTGCAGTGGTTGTTCTCCAGACATTACAAAGACACAGGGTGAATGTTTGTGAAGTAATTTGTTGCTGAAGAGTTGTATCGCTAAATATCATACAAGGTTTTGGTGAACTTATGAAAAAGCAAAGAACTGTGTCTGGAAGCAGGAGCTCTGTGCTTTGCGCAGGCTGTAGTCAAACTCTTGCACTGTCCCTGTAAATGCAGGAAGCTCCTCTGAGCTGTTCTCAATGTGGACTTTTTATGTATTGTGCCCTTGTTAGGACATCAGACCAAATGGCTGACTTAATGCTGTCTTTGGGCGAGGGGTGGTGTGTTCGGCGCCTCCCTTTTGTATTCCTCGTTTACCACTCCCTGCATGCTTGGATCTTTTCTCTGATTCTTTCCTAGGTGTCTTCATGAGTGGAAACCCCATGATGGTAGGCCTCTTTCCTGCCTGCTCTTTTGTGACAACCATAAAAAACAAGACCCAGAGTAAGTCCCCAATCCTGTATTTAGAGTATCAAAGTTTAGTAATGTCTTCTAACTCTGCCTTTGGACGGTTCCTTGGGACTGCATTGTACTTGTAACAAATTTAGCTTTGTGGCAGAAGCAAGTCATGTCCTCTTTGTACTCAGTTTTCTAGTGATGGAGAAATAAGGCTCTGGAGCACAGCCTAAAGTGACCTCATTTCTAGTGTCAATTCCATGAAAGCAATGAAAATTCTAAATTGAGGAGTCCTCTCAGGTTTGTGATATGGTCAGTTTTAACTTGGCCTGTTGTTTGCCTGAAAGGAGGTTGTAGCGAGACCGAGGTCGGTCTCTTCTCCCAAGTAACAAGTGATCAGACGAGGGGAAATGGGCTCAAATTGCACCAAGGAAGGTTTAGGTTGGCTATTAGGAAAAATTTCTTCACCAAAAGAATTGCCGAGTGCTGGAACAGGCTGCCCAGGGAAGTGGTGGAGTCACCATCGCTGGAGGTATTTAAAGCACGTGTGGACGTGACGCTTAGGGACATGATTTAGTGGTGGGCTTGGTAGTGTGAGATTAACAGTTGGACTCGATGATCTTGAGGGTCTTTTCCAACCTAAACGATTCTATGAAATTCTGCTGCAGCTGATTTAAGAAGTAGCTGCTTCTTTTTTTCTTTTAATATTTTAATTCTTTCTTCAGTCAGTTGTGGCCTTAAGGTTCTTGAGAGCTGAGAGCTATAGTGGTTTCTAGTCTGCCTCAGAAGCAGAAATTTTCTGGGAACTTTAAGACACAGTTGGGCAAAATCAGCTATGGGCAGCTTGTGAGGAACTTTTCTGTGAAATGTCCTTATGGGAAGGACCAGATCTTCTCTAAGAGAACTTAATTCTGTTGTGCTTGCAGGGTTCCCTTCTGGAGATTTCTCATCACAGGAGCAGACCAGAATAGAGAACTGAAGATGTGGTGCACTGTGTCTTGGACCTGTCTGCAGACTGTCCGGTAGGTGTTGATATGCCGACTCCCCTGAAGGTTTGGATTTACTTTGAGCAGTGGAGCGTAACAAAGCTCTCGACTTCCAGGTATACTTACTCTGCAAAGGTGATCCTTCATCTCCACTGGAGCCTACTCTAGCCCCAGTCAGGCAAAGGAGGAGGTTGTATCTGTTGAAAGCTGTCTGGGCTGTGACAGACTGTCAGGTCAAGTTTTGGCAAGGCAGGAGACATTGATCCTTTTATACAGTCTCCTTGGTGTTACCAAGACCTGTCATCTTTGCTTTGGTCTGTAGAGCAAAGACATATCTATGGTGTGAGGAGAGGCATTCCAAATTGCACGCCTTGAGAGTTTTCTTTTCTAAAAATACTAAATATTTGATAACTAATCTCTCTTCTTAATATTGCTTTTTCTGATATAAATAATGAGAAGCTGCTGTGTTGACAGAGATTAAGCGATTATCCAAGGCTTATTTGCTGAGCCATGTAGGTCTAGAAGTTCAAATTCTGCTTTAGTCCATCCCTTCACTCAGCTTATATTCCCTGATTTTACTTTTCTGCTGGTGGATCACGGCCTCTCTGATTGCCTGCATGTGTAAGGCCACAGCTGAATTGCCCTCTGAAAGTGAGAAGAATATGGCATATAGCTGACTGCTGCTTTTTCCACCTCATACTACAGAGGGTCCAAAATCTATAGAAGGGTTATTTAGTGTTGGTGGGGTTTTGTTTTTAAATCTGGAGTGTTGGCTCTTGTCCTTCTACGAATGTGGAACATGTTAAGTAATGACAAACTGTCATCTTTCATTTAAATGTTCAGAATATATATCTGGGTCCTATTCTGTGATCTACCTGCTGGTCTCTTAGCTGAAGTCAGCACTGATTTCTGTAGTGACGTTTTTGTTCTAGTGGTGGTTGCACTGTAATATGGCTGTAAACTTCTTGAGATTTTTTTTTTTTTTTTAACTGATGCAGTTTCATAGCAGTCGTTCTGGCTGTGCTAATCTGCCTTCTTTTCTGCACACCCCACCCCCGCACCTCTTGTTTGTGGATCTAGCTTTTCTCCTGACATCTTCAGCTCCATGAGTATTCTTCCCAGCCTGAAAGTCTGCCTGGACCTCTCTGCTGAATATCTGATACTGAGCGATGTGCAGAGAAAAGTAGGTGGTGCATTTTATTGCTGGCTGGGCGGGTAATGGTGACAGAAGGAGAAATGACCATTTGTGTGACTGATTCTGCTGCCTAGGTCTAGGATTTGCTTGCTAATAGCTAAAAATGCAGGTGTTGGCCTCAGCTATTTCACCATAAGATGACAAATGGTAACAATTCAGCTGAGTAATGCTAAGGAGCCTGCAGGATTATTTCTCACCCTAAAATATAGCTCTCATTTGGAGACACCTGTGTCTGACACAATAGGATTGAGTTCCTGATCAACACTGACTCATGCAGGAGTGCGCTTATTGTGGTTCCCTTGGGTGTTCTGTTTCAAATTTAAATGGCCCAGGCTTTATTCCTCGTGTTATTTCCATTGTTCCAAGTCTTGTTCAGGTGCCAGACTTTGCAGTACGCATGGTCTGCTCTGAAAGCCCAGTGATTTACTCTTTCTGATTCTTTCAGGTCTTGTATGTGATGGAGCTGATGCAGAACCAAGAGGAGGGCAAAGCTTACTTCAGCTCCATCTCCGAGTTCCTTCTTACCCACCCAGTCCTAAGCTTTGGTATCCAGGCAGTGAGCCGCTGCCGATTAAGGCACACCGAAGTGCTCCCAGCAGAAGAGGAGAATGACAACTTGAGTGTAGGTAGGTGATGAAGAGAATTTGGCTGCTGTGAGAGCAGGATTTCTTTCCTGATTGGTTCTGGCTTTCTCATGAAAGACTGGCTCTCTTCTTCGCTTAATCCTGTGTAGCTAGAGTACTTCAGGGAAACACAGTAGAACTGTTTAGAAGGGGCCCCTGGAGGTCTCTGGTCCAACCTGCTGCTTGAAGCAAGACTATTGCTGGTGACAGGTCAGGTCACCTATGGCTTCATGTAGTTGCGTGTTGGAGGCCCTCGAACATGACACTTTTGTCTCTGCTCTGGTGCCCTGTCCTAGGGCTGCACCCCTTCCTAAAGAAAATATATCTTAATGTTGAACCTGAACCTCTCAACCAAGGTTGTAGCCATTGCCCCTTACCACACAGAAACTCCACTGAGGTGTTTCTGTTATTAAAAAAAGCATTCCAGGGCTGTGTGGGCTTAAGTGACTGCAAGCAATGCTTTGCTTAAGGTACAAGATCAGCTGCTTGGTATCTGAGCCGCGATGCTTTTGCAAATGCGTAGTGTCGTTGCTTCCAGCAGAACGCAGGGGACAGCTTCCTCGGGCAGCCTAGGGCTGTGTCTCCCTCTAGCACAGTTTGATGCAGGCTCACAGAACAAAAGGATTCCTGGAAGAACAACTGGCAGCATGTATTTCTGTGACTGTTTGTCTGAGTAAACTGTAGTGAGACATCAAAGATGTGAGCACATGGTCTGAGAAACCAATTGGTTGCTTCTGTATCGTGCTGCCTGCGCTGTGACAGATGTGAGGACAGTGCGCAGTCCGAGTTGAGGGAAGGGGTGGCATTCTTCTCCATCACACCTGGAAGGCATATTCCCAAGCCACAAAGCTTCTTGTAGCAGAAATGAACAAGTAACTCTCTTTTTAGAGGAGAAACAGGAGGTGTCATCTTCTGGCTGTTACTACCATGAGTATGATAGTGAATCTTGTGGAGAACCATCTCTTGGAGACATTACTTGATTGCTGCACTCTCCTATCTTTCTGCTAGTAAGATTTGAAAAGATGCTGTGAATAACATCAGCGTGTTTCCTGCTAGAAAGATACAGCTGGACTGATAGTCCGGGAATGATGTGCTTCCTTATGCCACCTCTTGTACATAATTACAGTTAATTCACGTTCTTGTCAATATTAGTGGCATTGCTCTGACTTGCAGAAGCATAAATGACAGATACATGTAGCAAGTCAGGAGCAGGCTGGGACTGAAGCTTTGAGTCCCTGATTAGTGCTCAGATAATTAGGGCAATTTGCGTAGGAATGCCTAATACTTTTTTTTATGGGGAGTTAGGTTTATCTTTTCCACTCAGCCTCCTTAGCTTTGTTAGCAATGAGACTGATACTGGATGCTGTCAGTGCTGGCTCATGGGAAGTTATTGCAGAGCTCTTCATAACTCCAGTTGTTTACAGCCAGGAAGGATGGTTGAGCCCTAGCCTGAACTTCTGTATGATGTAAGCTAGTGTGTGTCTCTTAAAAAATATCTAACCAGTCTCTTCGACAACCAAAACAAATTGCTGGCAGTTCCAGACCTCAGCTTCCTCCACTTTGCGTAGTGAGGTATCTTTTTTTTTCTTTCTTTCTCTTCCTTCAGGCTTATTTAGCTGGATTAAAGCAAATTTGATTGTTCTCACTTTGAAAAGTAAAGGGATTGTAGGATACACTTTTGCTTAACAGGGTGAATCTACCTCTGAAGTGGAGAAGTCATAAAGCTGTATCACGCTGGTTCTCTGCTGCTGGTTCATCTGTTATGATGTTTTTCTAGTAGTTTGTCTGCAGTTTCCATCCAACTTCATACTTTACTTTTGTCTCGTTTGCAGAAGGTGCTCAGGGAGCCGGGGCTGTTGAATCAGCCGCAGGCGTGCTGATAAAACTCTTCTGTGTGCACACCAAGTGAGTATGCGTAGCAGCTACTGTGAGCAGCTGCCTAGGGTCATCCTAATCCTGCACTGACCTGTAGAAATTTAACTTAGCAGTTGCTTTTGCTCATAACAAAAACTGCTTGGACCCACAGAAACTTGTAGCTGTGGTGTGTTCAGTGTGGCCTTACAGAGAAGTAGCCCTGCATGGTGCCGTGGCAAGCTAGTATTTTTGTTGCCATGAGTACGCAGTGACCTAGGAGTTGTGCTCGTGTGTAAGTGCGGGGAAACATCTCTGAAATGCTCTGGGTGCCAGAACTGGGTGACGCAGCTGAACGATGATCAGCTTCTACTTCTTCTGTCACGGGCGGAAAACGCTAAAGCATATTCCAAGGGAATCAGTTCCGTGAAAAGGAATCTTCTAAGCATTAGGCTTGTCTTGGTGATTCATAAACTCATCAGAGATGCCTGGGTTTTTTTCAGGGCCCTACAGGATGTGCAGATTAGATTCCAGCCTCTTCATAGTCCTGACATGAGTGCATCCATGCCTTCCCACAGCTCTCATGAAGAATTTGGTGAGCATTTGTGTTAAATCTGTCCTCAGTGTTGCTGAGCCTTTAAGGGTTGTTGCGGGGGGGAAGCAGGATGGCAGCTTTGGGTGCCTCTTTGTAACAGAGTGGTTACATTGCATAAAGGGTTCTGAATATGGACTAGCTGTGAAGCAGGCTGCTTGATTAGAGCCTGGTGTGAGTACGGAGCGTGGGGACATGTTAGGCTAGGAGTGCTAATGCTTTGTACGTGCTTGAGTTCACCTTTCTAGGTGATATGGCACTTGTGTCAGAAACTTGATGTTCGTCTCTTGTGAGGTGGTGTAGATTAGAGTGACATCGGATCTTTGGGAGTAGAGAGGACTGGGCTGTGTAGCGTGCTCTTTCAGTTCATTCATCATTCTGGGATGTGACTGTTAAACTGGCCTTGCATTTACTGAAGAAAGGAAGCTTGGATCTCCCATTATCAGAGCCTGATAACATCCACTGTTTAGCCTACGAAGAGTAAGCATAAGACAGGATTTATCTTGCCCTTAGCTTTGATTAGGGTATTGCAGGGTTTTTGCTTGTTCTTTTGGAATCCAATATGGCAGGCAATGGCATAAGTTCATACTTTGTGGAATTAAAGCTTTAACTTTTGGGGGAAGTTCCTGTAAGTTGATTTATATTTCTGCCTTGGAAGCCTTTCCAGACCACATGGCTGATCTAAGCACGGAAGGGCTGGGATCTGAAAAAGGATCGGTGCATGGCTCTCAGCCAGACCTGCGACGTATTGCTGATCTGCCTGTACCAGCGGACTTCCTTTCTCTCTCAAACGATGCTAAACCTAAGCTGATGACTCCAGATGCATTCATGACACCAAGTACATCTCTTCAACAGGTAACCAGAGAGCAGCACTGTTCTTGGTGGTACAATGGATGGGTTTGGATTTTGATGCTTTTGGGAACTTTTTCTAGACAATAATGACTGATAGGCTGAATGCAGAGCACACAGGGAACTCTGCAAGTACCCAAACCGAGTAAAGACATGTTGGCACATCTGCAATACTAAGCTGGCCTCAGCTTGTGCTGCGAGCGCTGTGTTTAGCTGCAAAACTGCTGGTGTAGTTGTGTTGTGTAGAAATACGGGTTTGCGAAGTACCTGTATCTAAGCTGGGAGACTGGTTTACGGATGTTGTTTGGGGTTGTGATATAACTGTAATGGAAGAAAATAGGCCATCTCTGCATATCCTGTCTGATGGGGTCCTGTGGGAACGCGAGTCTGAAATGAGCAGGTGGGTAGATGGGACTGCAACATCTTCTGCGTGAGATCTGCGAATCATTGATCTAGTAGCTCAGTGGGTTTTTTGAATCTAACGCAGCAGGCCTGAACTTGTGTAGAAAGCAAGTCTTCTGTGCTTGCACGGGGCATTTCGGTATCAGGAAGCCTGTGAAGCATTCCTCGGGATTTGGTGGTCTCTGCAGAGGATAGCAAAGTGTCTCTGTAAAGAGCTATAAGCAAGCATCTGCTCCTCAGTGGAGCTCTGATGGAGCAGTCAGAGAACATGAAATTCTTAATGCTCTGTCACGTGTGCATGGCCAGCAGTGCTGCGTCGCGCACCTCTGGGTCCTGCCGGGCGCTCCTAGAGGCTGCCTGGCGCTGGCAGTGTGCATCTGTCTGACTCGGCCCAGGTTTCTGCTGCCCCTTCTTGGTTATGCCAACAAGCAGAAGTGCGGGAGCTCGCTGTTTCTTGGCCATTCTGCATCCAAGTGTCTTGATAGTTTGTCTTAAATCCATGCAGATATAACCTGCTTCTGCGCTTCTGTACTGCATTTGTGACAGTGTAGTTTTGTCCATGTGCTGTTTAGAACAGGCATAGACATAAATGAAAAAGGACTTTGAAAAGTGCATCCTTTAGAACAGTGATGTGCAAGAGAACTGCGAGGTGTGGATTCCCCTAGTGAGAAGCTGCGGTGCTTGTGTTTTCTCTGCCTTCCTGTGCGAAATGCACTGCCAGCAGTGATTTGCCATGCTGATACAGTTCTTGCAGACAGAGAGGAGTGCGTGTATGAGCAGCACTCCACATGCACATCCTAAGGCAGGGCTTCCCCCTCCAAGGGAGGAACATCTGGTTGTCACTGTGGCTTGAACGTGCACTGGAGGAACCCAGGTGTGGACGGACAGTGTGTGGAGATATGCGGAAATGGAGTTAGTACTGAGTTGACTGGTGACAGAGCACTGCTCCAGCAACAACTTGAGGACGAAAGAATAAATTAAACTCCTAAAGGTTTTGATGCTGCTAGCAAATTTTCTGGGTGCAGAAGTTAATTTTGTGCCTGAAGATGAGCAGCCTTCCCAATGCAAAGATGTCCCAAGGGAGCAGAGAGAAGTTGTGTAGCTTAGTCTCTGCCCTCAACAACGTCAAGCGCAAGAAGCTCGGCCAAGCTGGCTTTCCCAGCTGAGTACTTGTGTGCTGCTGTTGGTGTTCTCTGTGGGTGTTTCGTGGTAGCCAGAAGCAGCAGTGAGGGCCGGCATATACAGCTGTGCTCTGCACTGCTAACCAGCCAGCTAGGTGAGCGACAACACCTCTTCTTGTGCACTGGAGCATTCCGTTTCCCTCTCTCAGCAGTGCAGGACCTAAAGCCTATACAGACTCTGGCCTCACTAGTGGCAACAGACCTTGACAAGAGCAGTCTAGCTCAAAGAACAAAATGAGGGTCTGGTGCTGAGCCCTGCAGAATGCCGCTTGGTTTTGGGAGAGCAATTGCTCCATAAAAGCAGCCATGGTTCATGTGATGAGGATGAATTGGGGCTTGCCTTCGACCTATTTTTTTTTTTGTTCCCTCTTTGCGAGAGACTCCTTAGGAGTTCTTCTGGAGCCAGCATTCTCTGGTCTAGTTCTGCTGTTGGACTCTTCTGTCGCATCCTAACTGCTGTGTATTTTCTTACAGATTGCTGTATCTCCAGGCAGCAGCGTCAGTTCCCTGACAGCAGTCACAGCCATGAGTAGCACTTCTGTCACAGATGCCTCTATGCCCAGGTAAATAGGTTGTGTATTAAACAGTGTATCTGCAGCTGAACTGATACTGGACTTCAGGGTGGTGCAGAGCTGTAGTGAGTGTGTCTTGTAGGAGAGGAGACTGTAACCAGAGTTAGAAACTGGCTTGAATCCCGAAGTCCCTATATGGGCAACTGTTTGCATCTCTGACACAGCTTGGAGCATGCCTGTTGTCATCCAAGGGGCCAACAACAGTGTTTCATTTGTGCCTCGTAGGGATTCTCTTATTGCATCTCAGTTTTGTTGCTTTACATGCTTCTCCCAAAGGGCTGTCTTTGTTTACAGGTAAGAGAACGCTGCAGCCACCAAGGACAGGGAGAAAATTGCGACTGTTAGGAAAATCTTACTAGTATCATGGTGGGTTGGACTGCATAACAGGCAAAAACTTTACTTCTAGGGGTTGGGAAAAAGACAAAGACCTGTCCCGTAGTGTCCTGTTTCTCCCTAAACTCTGTACGGTGTGAACTGAAGATATAACAGGTCCCTTCTCTCATTGACACCTCAAACTCTAAGAGATTGTGATGCCTCCCTGTGTTTTGTTTCCACTTGGTCTGTCTTTGGGCTGTGTGGGCATTAGGAGATGCAGGTGCTAGTTGACAGGGGGTGGTTGACCGTGGTGGAAAGAGCAAGGGCTTGGAGAACACCAGTGAAGTTTGGGTTGGGCTCCTCCATTGACCTGTGGATCCTGTCTCCTCACCTTGAGTGTTTGATGCAGATCTGTGTAATTAGGTTGCCCTGCTTGATTTGTTTGTGTCTCTTTTCTGCAGGCCATCGGAAGACTTGACTGTGAGCCCCAAGATGCAGCTGGACACCAGCCTCACGCTGAGCAGCAGTAGCAGCAGTCTCCAGACCAGTCCTAGGAGCCATTCAGTTCTTATCCCAGGCCTCCCTGACAAGCTGACACCAAAGGCACCTGTTCCAGTAAGGCTCCAAGTGCTGCTCCCTTCCTTCCCCTTGTGGGCCAAGGGACCTCTCTCTGTGAGCCTGCGCAAGCTGAGATTAGACTTATTTGGATGATAACAGGGCCCTGTGGAAAATGCAGCTGCTGGCACAGATCTGCAGCCGGGTTTACTGCTATTGATGGAAGTTGACCTCGGCGTAAAACAGCGTGTCTCTGAAAACTAGAGACAGCTCTAGCTTGTGCTGTCACTGTCACAGTGGTTGGAAAGGGTCAGCCTTTGTGTTAGGAGCCAGTGCTATCTGGAAAGGTTTCTTCCTCCTTGCTGGTCTTACGGGCCTGAAACAGTCAGTTCCTATTCCTAAATTTTTCCTTCCAAGTGTGATGTAGAACAGACTATGACCAAAGCTTGAAATTGAAATAAACTTTCAGTCCAGGAGATATTCAATGTTAAAACTAACTTTTTCCGTCAAAAATAAGGGGTCCTGGAGCAGAGCAGGGAGGTAGAGCTGGTGTTACATTTTCTTTGAAAGTGTGTTCAAACTGGCGTTGGCGTAAGTGTGGTGTTAGCTCAGCTAAGAGTCTGTTGCAAGTCTTGGGTCCCTCCTCCATCCACTGAGTGGGAGTACAGGGATCACATGAGTAAAGGCTACAGCTGACTGTTTCCAGAGGTGGTTGTTGTAAGGTACCAGGCGTTCTTGGGGCATCTCCACATTACCCTGAAGGCTTTTGTTTGATTTTTCTGTTCAGGTCATGCCAGGAAACCCCTCTCTAGCACTGGAACTGAAGGAGGTGGAGCCCTTGGTGGTGCCCCAGGCTTCTCCCACCCGCGAGCGCTCGCCAGACGTCATTTCCTCTGCCTCCACAGCCATGTCCCAAGATATCCCAGAGATTGCTTCTGAGACCTTGCAACGCAGCTTTGCGGCAGCTCCATCTGGGCTCCCCGTGGAGGTGCTGGAGCCCAGTCATCACACAGACAGTATGGCATCCGCTGCCTCAGCCTTGCATTTGCTGTCTCCAAGGAACCGACACAATTCAGAGCACAGCCACCACTCTTTGGACATGCCTCCAGTGGAGGTGGACAGACTGAATGCTCCATCATTACTGGAAACTGCTTTAACTCAGGAAAATGCATCTTCTGACAGCGTTGTGAGTCAACCATGGCCAGCAGCTCCTGACATAACCAGAGAAACCAGGAACAGCATGGCAGACAGGTAATCACTTGGGTTTGTCTTGCTTAAGGCGATTTCTTTGTGCTTGCCAAATTGCTAGCTTGGTGAGAAGCTCTTATCTTGTGATTAAACCGAACAGTTCTCCATCCCTCCTTTTCCTTAAAAGATCTGATGATTCAGCCTCTCTGTGTGCCTGGTCTGTGTACGCTGTGTCTGGAACTTCCTAGGCCAGCTCTAACAATTTGTGCTCTCTGACACCCCTTGCAGCATAAAGGATTTCTGTTAAGAAGGTGAAAAGTCTACTTTATTGGCCTCCATGTTCACCTGGGAATGCAGACTTGATATGGGATTTTAATTTTTTTTTTAGTACTCTGGAAATAAAACCACTGCAAGCCAAATTGCAAGGACTTAATTAGAACAAAGTCGACAGGTTTGATTATAGGTTGATTGTATATCTCTGTTTTGTGAATGGCTTTGTGCAGCTAGCATTATCCATAAAGCCAGGAAATGAATGGCGGTGTCTCTGTGGAGCAGGCGCACAGAAGGGAGCAACACCACTTACGCTCACCAGAAGCAGACCATCACGCTGGGAGCAGTGCTAGGATTCATCACAGAATTAGTGTGATTAGTGTTCTCTAGTGGGACGGGAACAGCACAATGCATCTGGCATCTCCAGAGTCCATCTAGGCCAGGACTGCACACCATGAGAGCCTGCAGACACCTTCCTTTCGAACAGGACTAGCTAGTGTAAAGCTTAGAAGCACACGCAATTTGCTTTCAAAACCCTGATGAAACTCTGGCTGTCTGGCAGAGCTAACCCATCAAATTGGCACATCTCCCCTCTGTGTACTCCTCAGACACTTGGAAGAACTGAGAAGCACTGATTTCTGCCCCAGTGATCAGTATTACTTGAGGAAAATAAAACCCAAGATGATGCTATCCACTGAAATATGCGGTACTGCCCGTTCTGAGTTAGTGGCTTGCCTGTCCTGCGTGGATATCCGTTGGGAGATTATGTTCTTTGTTAGTGCCTGAAGCATAGCTTCTCTCTTAAGGTCATGTCAGAAAACTACATGGAGAAATTTAGGTGTTTAGTACCTCTAAACAACACCTGCCACTCTCTGAATCTGTGCGCATAGGTGTAGCATTTTTTGTTTATTTTGGACCTTCTATCAGGATCTCTCGTGAGAAGGGGACTGAGCAAGTACCCAAGCTGAAAGAGACTCCCGTGATGGTATTTTCTTTTTTCTACCTCCTCCAGCCCAAGGGATGAGGTTGAAGAAAAGCACAAGAGCTCTTCCTACCATCGACACAGCTACCACCTGCTACAGCATGACAGCCAGGATGCTAGTGCAGAACAAAGGTACCAGAGTGCTCAGCCCCCTCTCTCGCCCTGCATGGACTCAGTTCGGGCTGCATTCGTGCTTCTGTGCCCAGCAAGCCTTCAAGTGTTGGGTGAATGTCTTTGCTTTGTCTCCTGACTTAATGTATGTATGCAGTCCAGCTTCTGTAACGTTCTGATGTCTTCAGTTGATCACGAGATTGGCCTCTGGGCAATGTCAAATTTACTCTCTACAGGGAACAGTTTGACTGTGCTGCTCCTAAGAGCATGGACCAAGCTTGGTTTAATTACCAGCGAAAACCTATTATGGGACCGGTATCCAAATACTGTGCCTTAGCTAAGGTAGTGAGAGTATTTCAGGAGTTCATTTCTTGCTTTTGAAATCTTTGCTCCCTCATGAGCCACCCTAAAGCTCCAGGGGCACATTCGGTGTGCCTGGCAAGCTCAGCCCTGTTTGAGGGTTTGTTCATAATCCGCGCTTCAGTTCAGACTGGAACGTGCAGCCTGTATTGGGTGGCTGGTCAGCAGCTGAAAGACTCCAAGGTACCAAGGGTCATGCGCTTGGTAGGCTCGCCCTGCTTCTCCTCTGTTCCTGCAATACTTGCTGCATTAAGTGCTTTCTGTCTGTAAAGCTGTAAGGATGTGCTGTGCTTGGGTTCCCCGCTGGGTCGGCATCACGTCCTAGGGCTTGTGTGCCAGTGCGTCTGTGCAGCAAGAACAGGCATCGCTCTGCCACGCTGCCTGAACCGCAGTGGTCCCGACCACAGAGACCCTTCAAGCCTTGCTCTGCAGCGCTCAAGCGCAGCCCTGGGTCGAAACGGAGCAGCATGTGCTGAGCTCCGTTGTGTTTGCTGCGTTAGAGATCAAGGCGGCGGGTGTCCTGAGCTACCTGACTCTGGCCGAGTGTGGATGCAGAGCAGAGTGTGAATCCCCTACCTTTGGTGAAGATTAATGCTGTCCAGTATTGCAAGTGATGTCCTCTCCTGTGCTGTTCCTTCATAGTGACCATGATGATGAAGTTGCAAGCTTGGCTTCTACGTCAGGTGGATTTGGTGCCAAAGCATCTACGCAGAGGCTGCCTGTGAAGGACTGGAAAGCCAAGGCATCCCCTCGGGCTTCCCCAAAGCTAAAGCGGAAGGGCAAGAAAGATGACGGGTACGCTGGGTTGACTAGAATACAGGTGGCTGTGGGACCAGGCATGCGGAGCCACAACCTGGTGTAGCCGTTAGCAGCAAGACCAAGGCCTGAGGTTGCGCTGCAGCCGAGCGCTCCCAACCTTCACCCCTTTTTGAAAATGGCAGTAATGCCACGGGAAGTGCTGCTGGTTACTCAGACGCTGACTGTTACTCAGGGGTGTGGGAGTAGTTTCTGCACTACTTTTCCAGCTGGGACTCCAAATCCAAAATATAGCCTGGGCTTGCGAAGAATGTGTGGGAAGCAAATTGCGAGTTGTGGGGGGACACTGGATCCATTTGCCAGTTTCAGTGAAGGCTTCATTGGCACCATGATGCTGTGAGTAGCTTAACGTGGCCTTCACTTCTGGCTGGCTTCTGAGTGCTGGCACAGTGCCCTTGTTCAACAATATCTATCATTTGTTACCTGCTTGCTGCTTCTGTGTGTTTCTAAACGTGCCCGTATGAATGCCTTGTAAGTGAAAACTGGTGACTGGTAAGGTCTGCCCATGGCAAATTAGACCAACCTGTGTGCATTAGTGCAAGGAGAGCAGCACAGCTTCTGCACAGGGCTCTCTCCTCTTGTTACATTGCCATAGCTCCGTGATTTGGGTCTCTGGCCGTGCAGATTATGACAAAGACGGGCTATGGCGTTAAGCTTCTGGCTGTGGTGCTGTGCTGTGACACGCAGAAGCTCTTAACCTCAGAAGTGCTTTTCGTTTTTCCTGCCTCAGTCCTTTTAAAGTTGCTGAAGGGATGCTGTCTGCGAACAACAAATGTTTACTTTCCTTCTGGTAGCGTCTGAATATTCATAGATTTGTGACTTTGATGGAGGCATGCGATACTAGTGGATCAGTTCAGTTTTTTCTTAATTCGGTTGTATCTGCTGGAGTGCATTGCTAGTGTCTTCACCTTGAGAGCTGGAATCATTCTAGATGATTTGAAGCTCGTTAATTTATATTTAACAAATGGGTACTTGGTTTTTCTTTGTAAATTATCAGGAGACTTTCAAAAGCTGTTTGGCACATCCTTCCCTGGCTTTGAATTTGGGCAAAACTGAGAAATCAGTGTGCGTGGTTCTTTGTAACAGTCCTTGTTAAGACTCAGTTCCGATCTCCTCCCAGCGAAGGGACCAGTCTGTAAGGAACTTCAGGGCCTGTGGGTAGTGCAATGATGGGGTCGCAGTGCTGTAAGGGCTGGGAGTTCATCACCTTCCCTTCGCTCTTAGTGTTATTCTGGGCAATACAGAAGCATGAGCTGGCGTGTAAAATCTAAAGCAACCGTAAAATGTGTGATCTGTTTTGGCAGAAGACTTGGGTAATAAGAGCAGTTAATTGACATAATTGGATTACTACTTTTCTCTTTTGATTTCCAGGGATGTGAACCATTCGCCAAGATCCTCTAACAACCAGGTGAGTCAGAGCTGCTCTGCAGTCCGTCCCGAGGGCACAACGCTGCAGCTCTATTTACTGTCTTACTACGACCTGAGAGAAAGTTCATCCCGGTTCCTTGGAGTGCCGTGGGCCTCTGCTGTGCCTGAACAGGCTGAGATGGGGCTGGGCTTGCACTTGGCGTTGCTCTGTTCTCTGACTTGCACAGCGGAGAAGGGTCTGCTCAGTGCTGTCACACTGCTGATGGCTTCCTGCCCGCCTTTGTATATCGATGTGCATTTCTGTGTTCTCACAAGCCCTGTATCCTCCACCACTCATTTCCTCTGCCCTGCTGAGACTCGCTTGTGTGGGCAGCAGGATAAGCAGTTCCCAGCAAAATAAGGGTCACAGTGGGACTGGGTTGTTGGAATTTCTTATCCCCGTTGATGGTGCCTTCATATCTGGCAGAAAATGTCCTCAGCCAAGTGGTGTACACTTGTTAAACTGCCCTTGATGTGTGTGCCTCCTTTAGATGTTTTGAGCAGGTGAAGAGACAACGAAGTAGAGATGTATACTTCTTCAGTTGTTTGTTATTCATGAATAAGTGAAAGAGCTGGAGAAGTGCTCTAGGAAAGCTCCTTCTTACTCTGCTGACTGCACAGTTTGTTCATAAGCATTTGAGGTCATTACATTCAGACGCCTGAACACTCGCTATTGGTACCTGGCCAAAAGTGAATAGGATCTGGTTTCTTCTGTTTTCTTTTAAATGCCAGAGCTTTGAAGGAGGTCTTGAGTCTAAACAGTTGATATTCTAAGCAACCATTTATGAATTCCATGCAGGACATTCATGTACCTTGCTTTATCTGTTTATTTCTTGGAACAAAAGTCTTAGAAACAGGCATTAAGCTGGCCCCATTTTCTGCCTCGTGTGTTACGCTTCAGTCCTAGATGCAGGGGTTGGCTTAGTCAAGCTTTCTGCTAGGTGCGGGCCTCCAGTCCTGTTAGAAATGAATACTTGTCCTCTCTGCACGTAGGTGACGCCCGAGTTCCAGGATGAGCTGATGTGCGTATTGAGGAGCCAACAGCGGGAGCTCTCTGAGCTGCGTCAGAACCAGATGGAGCTGCTGCAGAGGCTCACGGATCACCTCGACGCCATTCAGAGCTCCCTCATGGGCCACGTGGAGAGGGTGCTGGACTCCCAGCAGGAGCAGGAGCGTATCCTTGTTTGCAAATGTTGCGTGGGAGTTAAGGAGTGGACAGCTGCAAGGCAGTCTGGAGACTTGAGAGAAGCTAAGAAAGTTCAGGGGTCTTGGTAGCGTGGGAGTAAAGTTACCTGGGTGCAATAGAACTACTTCAGTTCCTCTCAGTCCCTTTCTAAGGGCAGGAATCTCAGAAATAGAGTGGAGAAGAACTGATACTTTCTCCGTGCCGCCACATCTTCCACTTGCCCATTAAGACCATAAATGCTGCAATGCTGGCGTAGACTAGAGGTGCACCTAATTCGTTATCCTATGTCAGGCAGTGGCCAGTTGCACAAGAGTAATTATGGGATGATTCTTCCCTCCTCTTCCTCCTGAAGGCAGGTCAGTATTTGCACCAGAAATAGCATCAGACTGCCATACTGCATAGCTGAGTATAGAATTATGTTGTCTGTACCCGTATATACATCTGGTGGTCTGCAGGTCCCTTACATGTTGTCTGAAAAGTACTTTCCTCTGCTGTTTTCAAACCTGGTATCCAATTATTTTTATTGCGTTGTGAGTAGTCAGTTCGTGTACCTCTTTTTCTGGACTGAATTTGGTCATTTTCCCCAAACTGAGCAGCTCTAGCCTGTTTCATGGCTGAAACCACTCTTAACTTCTATGACACGACAGTGGTTTCTGTTTTCTCTATTAGTTACTGTTGGATTTTCCATTCTGACCACAAGACTGTTACTTTCATAGATAATTGAGATAGCTTTCTACTAAAGTTGGGAGTCTAGAGCTATATTGTAATACTAGAATAATTTTTCCCTGTCTGCACAACTTCAGATCTGCACTGGACTTTGTCAGCAGCTGAGTTGTCACTGTTTGGTTTTTTGTTTTTAAGATGCACGTGCATCTCAGTGTTTGTGCGTTGGCTCCTTTGGAGAGCTTGGTTGCTCCGTGAGGTGTGACGAGCTTCTGTTAGGCCCGGGTTTGCTCCTGTGGACTATGTCACTTATGTCCATCAATTCCATCCTGCAGAAAAGGTTTTGCCAACTTGCTTTTTATGGATCTTGGGCTTCTTGGTTTTTGTAGTGGTTTTGGCTGAGCTGGAGTTAATTTTCTTCATCACAGATTGTATGGTGGTATGTTTTGGATTTGTGACCAAAAGAGTGTTGGTAACATGCTGATGTTTTCGCTGTTGCTAAATCCTGTCAAGGCCTTCTCCGTTCCATATGCTGCTCCACCAATGAGCGGGCTGGGGGTGGGCAGGAAGCTGGGAGGGGACACGGCTGGGACAGCTGACCCCAGCCAACCAAAGGGATGTCCCATACTGTATGACGTCGTGCTCAGCAGTAAAAGCTGGGGGAAAGGAGGGGGAAGAGGGGACATGCGGCGTGATGGGGTTTGTCTTCCCAAGTCACCGTGACGCGTGATGGAGCCCTGCTTCCCTGGGGATGGCTGAATACCCGGCCACCGATGGGAAGTGGTGAATGAATTCCTTATTTTGCTTGGCTCGCATGCGCAGCTTTCTCTTTACCTGATAAACTGTCTTTATCTCAACCCGTGAGCTTTCTCACTCTTACCTTTCCTGTTCTCTCCCCCAGCCCATTGCAGAGGAGTGAGCGAGCGGCTGTGTGGGGCTGAGCTGCCTACCGGGGCAGCTAAGTTAACCCACAGTATGCAGAGAATGCTACTGTCGAGGTTTTTCTAGCTCTTTGGCTTTTCTACCACGCTTTCCAGAGCTCTCCTCTCACCCTGATCGTTTGTTTATGAGTACCCTGTTGTTTACAGGAACACATCAGCAATGTTATATAGACCCCTCTTCCACCAGAGCCACAAATTTGCTGTCACTGAGCCTCTGGAGGTGAGGCTAGTGTCCATCTTTGTGGACAGGAGTGTTGAGGGTAAAGAGGAAATCTATGTTTGTACTCCTTAACATACATTCTCATTAGAGAGAAGGCTAGACCGAGCACTGACGGAAGGACAGCAGCGCAACGGGCAGCTCCAGGAGCATCTGTCTCAGCAGCTCTCTCAGTCCCTTTCCACTGCTGTGTGTAACCGTCTGGAGAGGACCATTCGCGAGGAGATGAAGAAGACTGTACCCCAGTGTGAGTGTTGCTGCCTAGGTTTTGGAGGTGATTCCCTACAGTTAGCCCGTAGGGTTTGAAAGCATGCTGCGTAAACGGGTTGGCACTGTATGAGGTAGGGGTTAGGTTACACGAAGACCAGTCATTGCACTTTAAAGTGTTTCAGGCCCCGCTGTAATCTGAGGAGTTGTGGTTTGGGAGGAGTGGCCCCGCTGTAATCTGAGGAGTTGTGGTTTGGGAGGAGGGTGAGGCTCCCGGTGGGGATGGCTTTCCAGAGAGGGTGGTCTGACCTTCCGTTATAATCTATGAAGCTTCTGGAGTATGTTTGGTGGAGAAAGGCAAAAGAGGCTAATGTGTTGGGGAATGTGGAGACTTGACTGGAGCAGACTTAAATTTGTCTTTGTCCTTCCTTGATGCGCTGGCACCATCCATGTAAAGAAGTGTTCAAAGAAATAGTGGTGGGAAAGCCTTCTGCAGCCACTGGTGTCCACCACTCTGTTTGAAGCAGGGCTACCCACTATTCTAGATCAGGTCAGCTGTGACTTTGTCGGGGCAAGTCTTGCAGACCTTCAAAGCTGGAGATTCTACAGCCTCTCTGGTGATTTCCAGAGCTGTACCACCTTCCTAGCAAAATGTTTCTCCTAATGTCCAACCTTAGCTTCCCAAGCCAGAGCTTGTGACCATTGCCCCTCACTGTGATGTATCCAAGGAGAGTTTTGACTTTTTGGGTTTTGAAGTGTAACTCTAGGCTTAAAGCTCCAACTTCGACACATTTTGTGTTGTGCCTAGGCATTTCCAAGAGCCTGGACCCTATTGCTGGCCAGCTGAGTAACACTATTGCCACCAAGATCACTGCTGTTGAGGGGACATTGAAGGAGAGTATCACCAAGCTAGTGAAATCAAAGGTAAGGAGAACCAGACTGTAGCTTTTCCTGGGGACACTGAGTTGTCACCTGCCTGGGTAGTGGCTCCTCATACCTCTTCCCCTCCCCTGTATCTCTGGGTAAGGTCAGTTTAGCTGCCGGTGGTCAACGCCCTTTCTTGGTCTCATCCACGGAGCGAGCTCATTGTCTGCTCCCCTGCCTGCTTTGCCTCATTAGCCCTTTCTTTCCTTTACCAGGCTGTTGATTTTCTGCTAGACTAGAGATTCTCGCTACAGCAGTGGTTTTTAGGGCCAACTCAGTCAGCCAAGTGGTGAAGGTTTGACTGGATCTTCTGCTCTCCACTCTGGTCTCCATTTTTACATTATTTAGGGAGCAGAAGCTTGTTATTTACCTTGCCAGGGAATCATGGATTGTGGCAGGGAAGCAGGGGAGGGGGAGAGGAGCCATGCCTGACCTCCCCTTGCTCTACAGCTGAACTGCAGGGAAATCATGGTCTTCTTGGGCAGCTCCTCACAAGTAGGTGCTCTGCCTGCTGTAGTCATGGTGCAGCCTGGTCAGTGGAAAGAGCTGAGGCAATACCCGCTTCTGATGCTGGGCTGACCTTAGCTGGTGTGGATGTGTTGCAGGGACCTACAGCGTTTGTTCACATTGTTGAGTCTGCAGCAGGCTGTTGTTAATTTTCTGGAATCCCTTCTGTGTGTGCTTGTAAGAACCTTACAGATACCGTTGTGAGGGCAACAGCTGATACCCTGCAGGGGCCGATCCAGTCAGCTTACCGGGAAGCTTTTCAGAGTGTTGTGTTGCCAGCCTTCGAGAAGAGCTGCCAGTCCATGTTCCAGCAAATCAATGACACCTTCAAGCAAGGCACACAGGAATGTGAGTAGGCTTTCTTTGAGTTTTCTCTGCCCAGCGTATTTGCATTAGTGGCTGACAGTTAGTAGGCCTTTTCTTATGTCTTTGCCTTTCAGAGTTTCACTGGTGATTGTTTAACCTCTTGGCCCATCCGCGTGCTCCACTTCACACTTGGGAAATAGAAGCAGAAGTGAGGAGGGTTTTGTGGGTGGTGCTGTACAAACAGAGCTTCACCTCTGGTCTCTGTAGCCCCTGCAGCGAAACACTTGGCCCCGTTCTGTGAATCTGTGACTTCATCTGTTGAATAGTAAAGCCTAGCTGTAGGATTACACCATCCTGACATCAGGAAGACAATGGATAGAGGGACAGCAGTTCTGCAGCTCAACCCTCAGCTCAGAGGGGTCATGGATTGGGGAGGTTTAGGGAAGGGTACGGGGATGATCAGAGGCTAAATAGTGACTGAAGAGTGTAGGCATGGTCAGGCTGGAAAAAAGAAAACTATACTCTGAAGTAAGGAAAATTGTACACTGGTGCATTGGAGACGATCTGTCCTGTTTGCAGGCTTGGGATCCAGTTCCTTCGCCTTATGGGAGGCCAGGCAGGTCTTACTCTGCAGAGCTGGTTTCTGAGGGGGCCTGAGGTTAGCTAGTGCTAGCACAGCGACTTCTCTTGCCTGTAGATCTGCAGACTGTCTCCAGCTGCTGTTTTGCACCCTTCTTTTTCCTCAAGAGTCTACCACAAGTAAATGGAAATTATGTTTTTCTCCCTTTTGATCAGACCTGTTCATAAAATATTTTAAAATACATTTTTCTGGTCTCTGCAGACATGATATTTTTTGTCAGAAATGTTCCTCCTCTTTCTTCATTGGCATTGAACTCCGTCACTAATGCGGATCGCAGCTCGCACTGTGTATGACATACAATGCCCTCGCTCCCACCTTTAGCTTGCCGTGAACAAACAGTGCCTGTAAAGGTCTGTCGCGAGAGAACTCTTGGCTTTGTTGCTGTATTATGTCGTCCTGCATGGCGGGGAGGTGGGAAGCAGGGTTTTTAGGTTAGTGTAACGCAGCCCAAAACAAGGCTTGCGTGTTTGCCCCGCTCTCCCGCACTCTTACACTGGCTCAGTAACTGGTTCTGCTGGATCACATGTAGAGCCTGGCAGCCAGATTTCTGCCCTGACGATCCCCACCAGTACCGAAGGTGCAAAAGTCTTCCTCTCTGCTTGTTGCAGATATCCAGCAGCTGGAGACTCACTTGAAGAACAAGAAGGTACGAGAACAGGAGGCGCGGGACCCACTGCTGAATCAGCTTCGACAGCTCATCAGCACCTTCCAGAGCAGCACCGAGCAGCTGGCTTCCACTGTCGCAGCCAGCGTCCACGCCGAGGTGCAGCACCAGCTGCACATTATCGTGGGCAAGTAAGTTGGCAGCTGGGCTTGTGGAAAGAGATGTCAGTGAGGGGTATACACGTGTGTAACAAAAACCTCTCCCTCTGTAGCTGTGGAACGAGCCATTTGCCGCTGCTGGGCTGCTTGTTGGCTCTGTGCGCAGTATGGCAGAGCACGTGGGCTGGGGTAGCTGTTGCCCTGCAGAGCGTGAAAGGACCACCACAGAAGGTTGCCAACAACCAGCTGTATCGCTGCTGCGTGTGTGAGCTTGGGGCCTGCTTTTCACTGCGTCCCATGTGCGTGTTGGAGGACAGAAGGACCAAAGGCAGCCCAAAAGCGCGCTCAATTCTGACTAGCCTTCCTCTTCCAAAATGTTCTTCTAGTCTTTTGAGGGCTTTTGTTCTTAACTCTGTGTGCTCGAGCACAGCAATAGTTTCTGCAGGCTACTCTGTCCTCCCAGCTGCTCTGCAGCAATTTACGCGTGGCCGTCCTGGTTTCAAGGTGTGATCCTGGCGCTGCCTTCAGCACGCTCGTGCCATGAGGCTGGCGGCAGGTTGCTGGGCATCGAGCCTGGCTGGTGGTCACCCGCGGGGCAGAATGCCCCTGTCTATTTTAAGCCGCTGGAACGAATGTCAGAGTGTGTTGGGGTCTTCTTGCCAGGAAGGCTACCAGATTCCATTCTGGTCTTGTTGCGTGGGCTGTGCTTGCTCCCAGGGAAGTCCTGCCATCCCACCTGCGGTAGAGCTGGGTTGGTGCTTTGTGCCCTTTGTAAGAGGGGAGGATCCAGTGCTTGGGGGGGAAAGCGGAACCTGCACTGTGAACTGGTCTTCTGTGGAGAGGTCGGAGGCTCGGTGAAAGTGTGTTCTCGTTCTGAAGGTGTCATCTGCAGGCTAGGAACTGCGTCTGACAGATGTGATGTAGAAAGCTGGGCCTGTCTGGGGATGAACCTAGAGCCTTTCTTGGAAGCCAGAGACATTAAACATTTAATGTGTAATGAGAGACTTAGTTCCCCAAAACATCACTTTCCCGCACAGAATCCCGGCATCTTCGCATGCACCCTGGGACATTGTGTTGTTGGCCGCAGAGCTACCTTGTGCAGTGTGTTTCCGATGTTTCAGAGCACTTTGTGTTAACCCTTTGGGAGCCACGCTGCAATAAGCAAGCTAGCCTGGGCTTTCTTGCTGATGTAAGCTTTGTGCAGTGGAGTCCCTCCGCTCTTTGTTTTCAGAAATGCCTGTTTGGTTTGTTTTTTTAGCATGCAGGAGTCTATTTTGGCCCAGGTGCAGAGAGTCATTAAAGGAGAAGTGAGCCTGGCTATGAAGGAGCAGCAAGCAGCTGTCACCTCGAGCATCGTCCAGGCGATGCGCTCGGCAGCCGGGACTCCGATCCCCTCTACTCACTTGGATTTCCAGTCTCAGCAAACTCACATCCTTCAGCTGCTCCAGCAGGGACACCTCAACCAAGCTTTCCAGCAGGTACCTAGGCTTCCTGGCAGCGGGCATCACTGCTTGGTGGGGGGTGGAGGCGGGGGAAGAAGGGCTGCTTGACCTGGGGACGTAATCCCCCAACGACTCACACGGGAGCTGGCTGAAAAGACCTGTGGCAGCAGACCGCTCCAGGGGTGCAGTTGCACTATGATGTTGGTGCAAGTTCCATGATGTGATGGCAGTGAAGTTCCTTCTTCCCAGGCTGTGCCCTGTCAGGACAGTGTCAGCACTCCAGTAAACCAGAGAGTTTTTTGCCATTGGCGGTGGCACGTGGTGCGCCCCTGAAGAGCAACAGCTTCATAAGCCTCTCCAGGCAGATCTACCAGCTGGGTCCTGACCTTGGCGTTGTCTTTGAATATGTAGGCAGATCCATTTGAGCTGCTGCAGACAGACTCCGCTGGGAATAACAGCAGTGCCGTGCCAGTGGGCTGACAGGGGATGCAGACATGGCCCTGCTCCGTGCTGCTGACTGTAACCTGCTCCCCTCTGCCTGGTTGTGGTCTGTGCATCTTAAACCAACACGGGCATCCTCTGAGTGCAGACTGGGAGCCTAAGCATGGTCCTGCTTGCACGTACAGAAGGGTTTGCAGAGAATTCTGCTCCCCGAGGAGGCTGGCGAGCCGTTGAGCTGCCGCAAGACAGAGGGCTGGCTTGTGCTCTCTCCCTGTCCCTCACCTGCCTGTTGTTTCCTCTGCATTCCTAGCTGTGTCTTTCTTGCAGGCTCTAACAGCAGCTGATCTCAACCTGGTCCTGTATGTCTGTGAGACTGTGGATACTCAGCAAGTGTTCGGGCAGCATCCGTGCCCGCTGTCCCAGCCTGTGCTGCTGTCCCTCATTCAGCAGCTCTCCTCGGATCTGGGTACTCGTACAGAACTGAAGCTGAAGTGAGTATGAGCAGAGTGCCAGGTCTGAACCTGTGCAGACCTGTTCCTGGCTCTGGCTTTCAGTTCACTGCCTCGAAGTGGAAGGTGGTGCTTCGACGAAGGTTGGAGCTTCTGTAGCCTGTTACTGGCATGTGAGCAACCGGTGATGGCTTGAAAAAACACGCAGGCATTGCCACAGAAAGCTTTGCTGCCCGGAGGCAGTAGTAGAAGGGGCACCCAGCTGTAGCCGTTACCTCCTGGACTGTAGTCTGTAAATATTATGTGTGGTCTGTGCAGCAATCTCCTTTAACCGAGGAACAATTCCCCTGTGGAGGTAAAAGGAGGGATAGTGCCATGTTTCCTGGGTAGCTCAATGTCCAGAGCAGCTTTGGTGCCCTCAGTTCTTAACCCGTCGCTGGACTTTGTGCCGGCAGTTTCTTACCATAGCTGCCATCTCCCACTGAGCCTGTCTGGCAGCAGGAGCCGCTGTGATTGGTGTCAGGTTAGGTGTTCCGAGCAGAGGTCGCAGGATGGTGACTGGTGATACTTGCTGTGAATGTTTTCAGTCGGTGAGTCAAAACCCTGTTATCTGCTCTAAAAACCTAGCTTGTTGATATGCCTGCGGGTTTTAACCAGGGCTTGTATGCAAAATGACTTAGAGTTTTCAGCTCAAGTTAACGATAGGGGTAAAGCAAGCTAGAAAAACTGAAGGCCCTTAAGTTACAAATGAGCCCGTAATCAGAGTGAAAGTTGCTGCCGTTGAGTTCAGGCTGGTCTGGCAGCGAGAACCATTGGCAGTGACCACATTGCCTCGCTCCCCAGCTGCGGTTTGAAAGTTCACGGCTCGTCTGAACTTCGGAGCGACTTACTGGTGGAATTACTGCTCTTCCCCTCCTCCCCCCATCCTGGACAGATACAGTCATATTGGAAGGAGACCTTTAATGTGTACCTACATGAATTAAGCCTCACTGCTGAGGATTTTTACTGTCTAATGAGTGGCTAATTCTGCTCATGCTAAAAAGGCATCAAATAAAATACCTACGGTGCTGTGATGAGGTGTGGCCTGTGGCCTGGTGCCCCTCCAGCACGTCAGGGAGCTCCAGCTTGCTGTCACGCCTGCTTGGTCCGGGCAGCTGGGTTGCGCTGCACGTACGGCAGGCTGGAGGCTGCAGGCTGCCCTTGTGTGTCCAAGGAGGGATAGGTGGGCTCGGCTGTGAGTCGGGAACGCTCATTTTCTGCCGGCTGAGCGTACTGCACTGAGTTTGGGTGGGTGGGAGAGCAGAATTGCGCATTGTCAGTGCTACAGTGAACTGAGTCGGACTGGGGTTGTGTGCTGAGCTTGGTTCTAACCATGGTCTCTCTCTTTCAGCTACTTGGAGGAAGCAGTGATGCACCTGGACCAGAGTGACCCCATCACCCGAGACCACATGGGGTCAGTCATGAACCAGGTGCGGCAGAAGCTCTTCCAGTTCCTCCAGGTGGAACCCCACAACACGCTGAGCAAGCCTGCCCGTCGCCTCATGATCATGCTCCAGGGCCTGGTCACCCCTGGCATGACCTAGGAGGACCCGGCTCCCTTGGGGGCTGCTCCGTGGAAGCCCACCCAGCAGATCCGGTAGTTACTAACCACGTATGGCTTGTGTTAAGAGCTCTCGCCGGGAAACCTATCGACGTGCGTGTGATGTCTCTAAGGCAAACGCCATCTGTGTATAGTCCCAAATAGTCACTGAACGCTCACTTGGCTTATTTTTTTCCCAAATAGCCTCTTTTTGAGAGAGTTAAGTCTCCTCTTCACCTGCCCGTCTGTCCCTGAGGCCTGGCCCCCAGTCCCAGTTGCTTTCAGCAGATGTGGGGGAATTTCTCACCCTGCTGCCGTGAGCGGAGGAGAAGGGAAGCCCACCCTGAGCCCCAAGCCAGGGGCCAGAAAGTAGCCCCCGTATCTTGGGTCCTCCTCGCTGGTGGGGCGAGTGGCCGGGAGGATGGTGGCTGGGGGGCTTCCTTCAGGGCTGGGGGGTGCGCGGCCCCTCCTGCGCCGGGTGGGCAGGGGGCTGTGAGGACGGCTGGGCAGCGCCCATCGCTTCTCGGAGCATGTCCGTCATGGTACCATCCCTTGATATGAGCACCAAGCTCAAAGGACTTGCTTCTCTATGGTTTCTTAAATATAGGCAGAGAGAACTATATCAAGACTGAATACCTGACAATTAATGCATCAACTCTATTCACATAAACCCACATGATAATGTTCTCTATATTTCATGTTGCTGTCTCCCATCACTGAGAGATGCCTCGGTCTATTATGTGGATATGGCGTGACATAACTGGTCATTCATGGCAGCCTAAATAAATCTGAGGATCTTGCAATAATATGCTTCTTAATTTTTCAAAAAAGACAAAACACTACCCTTAGATTTAACAAATTATAGGCATTGTATATGCCACTGAAAAAAGCACCTCCATATTTAAAAATGGAGAACAAGTAGATTCTTTAACTGTGAGAAATTTCCAAGAATTCTATACAGCCTTTTATATTTTCTTCAAAAGCCAGGAGGAATGTCAATTCATCATTTATAAAGTAGATGACATTATTTTTATTTGGTGTTTGGAAAAAATAAAAAGAAGAGATCTTGGGAGGGGCAGTTTTTTTAATTCTTCAAGTAATATTAGCACAATATTCTGGAAAAATATTTTAAAGGTTTAGAGGTCTGAGTTCCTCATTTTTCTAGATGGGATTTGCAGTCCAACACAAATTTTCCATGACTAAGACATGAAAGAGAGTTTTACTTATAGTAGTCCTGAGGTATAAACTTTATTCTCTTGAATGATTAGACTTTAGTTACTGTAGCTTTGGTCCTGCTCAATTAAGTCAGATACAGTCATAAAACCAGTATTTCCAACTTTTAAATTATAAGACCACAGTCCTCTATAACAGGTACTCAAAAAAAGCATAATAAATTAAAGGATATGAAAAAATGAAAATCATAAGACAGGCTTTTCAAAAACTGAGTAAAAAAGCATTAATGTTAGAAAGAGCTTTTAATTTTAGGTCTGAATCATTTATCAGCATCATTCTGGGTTTAACTTGGTTTAGGCCCATATTTAAATTTGTACAGTATCCAGATTTTCACCTTTTTCTAGCTGTTTTTTTCTGCTAGTGGATGACTGACAATATGATCAAATTAAAATCAAAACACTGCTTGGAAGTGGCACAATGAGGAGTTTCTGAAGCACATTTGTTCAGGACAACACCACCAAGACCACCAGGAAGGAACACTTCACAGAATGTTTTGCAGAAAGCAAGTACAGTTTGATATGGTGTCTATCAACACCACAGGGCAGACTTTCATGCTGCCGGGGGTAGCCACCTGCCCTGTCCTCCCTCCCTGCCTCTGAAGCCAGCGGTCTTGTCCATGGTCAAATTGACATTCAGCAGAATGCTCTGGAGGACCCACAGAGTGGGAATGGACCCTACGTGTTCCTCAGGCAGGCAGTCAAGGTTCAAGGCTACTTGGGAAGGGGCAGTCATTCAAGGGCTAAGAGGCAGAATTTGCTGGAAATGGGTCATCTCAGGTCAATTAAAGTTTTTAGCCTGGTTTTGAACTGAAGGTCCCAGGGGAGCTGAGAAGCAGACCTGTGAGCCAAGATTTAATTCACTGTGCAGAAAGGCAAACAGAGAACTAGGCCTAATTAGATAATGGGAACTCCTTTTAATGACCTGCCCATATGTTGCTGCATAGATCATCTATTATTAGGTAAATATGTTCTCTAGGATTTGAGCTCCAAAACAACACCGGGTAGATATTTAGTAGTGAAGAGAAGTCATACAGTCAAAATTTACACTCCCGCCGTCCCGTGTCTGGCCCCGGGGTTCAGCCGGTCCTGGTGGTTCATCCCTTGAGGAGCAGAGCAGGGGACTGGGGTGAAGCAGCCGGAGTTGCACTTGTGCCGCTTCCTTTTGTGCTTTTCCTTCCTCTTCCCCCTTTTCCTTTTCCTTTTCCTTTTCCTTTTCCTTTTCCTTTTCCTTTTCCTTTTCCTTTTCCTCTCCCTTCCCCTCTCCCTCCTGCTTTTGCTTTTCCTCCCCCTTACTCCTCCCCTTCCCCTTCTCCTTCTTTTTCCTTCCTCTTTTCCTTCCCCTTTCCCTTTCCCTTCCCCCTTCCCCTTTCCCCC